TTTTTATGGTATTAGTAATCTTGGATTATCACTAAAAGATAATCATAAGAGGAAATAGTGTGCCGTTGAACTTCGATTGGAGACTTAGTCGGTGTCTTTCGAAAGTAAGCCCACTGAGGATTCTTCTTTACCATGCGATCCAAACATGAAGAAAAACATTAGGGAATGCATGAGCCGACGAGTATGGTAGGAGAAAGAGAGAACGATACCAAAAGTTATGGCTTTTAATGTTCGGAAATCATATAGAAAGGATTTTTTTTTTGTTATTGATCACGAGGTTCAAAATCATCTATTTATAGAAAAGGGGTTTGACCTAAACTTAATCTCCAACATTTTAGAGAAATTTCAAAAAATGCCACTTTTCAAATGCCACTTTACAAAAATACCACATTTTTACAATCTTTGCAAAAATGCCACTTTTTAAAAATTATTTATTCATTATATAATTTATGTTTGGGTTAGCTATGTTGTATTAGGGTTTAGTTTTGAGAGTTTAAGGAGTTTTAGGGGTAAACAAATTTTTTAGGGTTTAAAATTTTAAGATTTATGCTCTAAAAAATCATATTTAGTGGTATTTATGCAAATGGACACCAAAAGTTGTATTTTTGCAAATGTAAACACAAAAAATGACATTTTTTGTAAATGTCCCAACATTTTATAAGATACAAATCTATACAAAAGGAATACTCTGCATATTTATTGATACGATATTTTCGTAAGAGATATCCTCGTAGTAATAATATCCATGATCTATAGAGTTTGGACTATAGAGTCGGCTTGACGAAAACTATAGAGTCGAAGTATATGTGGAAAATGAAAGGAATAATCAAGTGTAAATAGGCATGAAATGAAGATGATGGCTTCGAAATGAGAGAGAAGTCGTGACTCAATTCTTTAAAATGGAAACTATATTGTCAAGGATGGGAGAGAAGTGGAACTGATCATAGTGCAATCTAACATAATATCTAATTTACATCACTAATTATGTTAGAAATGCCTCAAATCTGATAATTTTATGTATTTTACACTCAAAACATCTAATCTTTTAAAATAAATCATTAATATAATAGGCTGAAAGGTATATGAGAAGGAAGAATAGTACTCAATTCTGAATTCACAATACATCAATATAAAATCCAAGTCTTTATCAACGAACAAAATAACAAAAAAATTATTAAACATTTCAATTTATAAATTCAATAAAAAATAAATTCAAGAATTCCTTACCGCTGATCTTATTCTTGAGAATAAAAATTTCTCAAGTGGGGATCAAGATATAAACCGAGGCTTTGATAATGTGGACTATAAACATTATTTATATGCCTGAAAAAAAAACAAAAGTAAAACATATCAATTAATTACTTTCCTAAATATATATATTTACTTAATACTAGATGAAAAATAACTACTTTAGATTAAGAGTGTGATAAAAATACATAGTAATATTTAGAAAATTTGTAAGAATAAATAATCATATAACTACTAGTAACTATATATGTATGTAGCATGCTAACTTTATAAGTAGATAGCGGTTACATCGGTAAAATATATATCACCACCATAACCATTAAATTGTTTTTGCCTTTTCCAAAATATTTCTCACATTGAAATCGGTATAAACTAAAGTTTTTGTAGTTAGGGTCATTTTTTTGGGATGAAATAAGGAGATAATTTGTTTGATTATGTTCATACGAATTATGTTATCACTATTAATCAATGAGTGATAAATAAATCGTTTCAGATTCAGAAATGTAAAAGTATGAAATATGGAACCAAGTATGATAAAATAGATGGAAAATATGTAAGAATAAATAAAGTGTAGATGGGAATGTAT